TATCAATTTTTATTAATGTATTTTGAATCAATGTTATTTCATACATGCACATTTAGGATTGTTATATCTTCCTAATAAACTATTTTTATATATTTCTTTATTGGATTATAATTGCTTTACAATATTGTGTTAGTTTCTGCTGTACAACAAAATGAATCAGCTATATGTATACCTATATTCCCTTCCTCATGAGCCTCCCTCCCTCCCTCCGCATCCCACCCTCCCCATCCCACCCCACTAAGTCATCACAAAGCATAGAGCAGATCTCCCTGTGCTATACCGCAGCTTCCCACTAGCTACCTATGGACTTTTTTATTTATTTATTTATTTTTGCGGTACGCGGGCCTCTCACTGTTGTGGACTCTCCCGTTGCGGAGCACAGGCTCCGGATGCGCAGGCTCAACGGCCATGGCTCACGGGCCCAGCCGCTCCGCGGCATGGGGAATCCTCCCAGACCGGGGCACAAACCCGTGTCCCCTGCATCGGCGGGCGGACTCTCAACCACTGAGCCACCAGGGAAGCCCTGACTTTTTAATTTTTATGAATCATTTATCTCTGCCAACACTCCCTCTCTTTGACCCTACTCTTTCTAATATTAATATAGCCACACTGGCTTTCTTATGATTGCTGACTGCATGGCATATCTTTTACCATCCTCTTTCTTTTAATGTATCTGTCTTTATGTTTAAAGTGTAATCACTATCTCTTGTAATCAGTATTTTCACCCTGACACTATTTGCCTTTTTAATGGAGTCATATAGACCATTTCCAGTTAATGTGATTATTGAGATTGGTTGTGTTTAAATTTACCATCTTGCTATTTGTACCATCTGTGACTTGTTCCTTTATTCCTCCTTTCCTGCCATATTAGTCTGCTCTGGCTGCCATAACAAAATACCATAGACTGCTGGCTTAACCAACAGAAATTTCTTTTCTCATGGTTCTGGAGGTTAGAAGTCAAAGATCAAGGTTTCAGCTGATTCCGTTTCTGGTAAGGCTCTCTTTCTGACTGCTGACAGCTGTATTCTTACAGTGTTCTCACATGGCAGAGAGAGCTCTGGTGACTCTTCCTCTTCTTGTAAGGGCACCAGCCCTGTTGAATTAGGACTCCACACTTATGACCTTTATTTAACCTTTATCACTTCCTTGCAGGCCCTATCTCCAGTTACAGTCACATTGATAGAGCTTCAACATATGAATTTGAGGGGGACACAATTCAGTCTATAGCACCTGCCCACCCTTGAATCATTCAAATATTTTCAGCATTCCATTTTAACTCTTCTATTAGAAGAGCAGTGGTTTCTCTAGTGTTACAGTACATATCATTTTACATATATATTATATTTAATAATACTTTGTTATTATTTTTGCTTTGAATAGTCAATAGTCTTTTAGTGAAATAAAAGCATAGTTGATAATATTTATCCACATACTTAATGTATACAGTGCCCTGTATTCCTTCTTGGAGATTGAGGTTGCCATGTGGGATTATTTCCTTTTAGGAACATTCATTTGTCTATTACCAGAGTAGGTGACTGCCACTTCTTATGAAAGCCTCCTCCAGTATTTGCTCACTGTAGAAGGTCTTAACTCTCTCTGGAATTTGTTCATTTAAATTTTTGTCTTCAAGTTCCCTTATGTTTTTAAGGACAAATATGAGTTTTTAATTTAACCAGGTATTTTTGTTTGTTTGTTTGTTTTTTGGATAGGAATGAAAGACTTCCTAACCCTTCTTTTCAGGCTGTTTCTTTCTTACACCTTCATGCTTACAACTTCATTCAGCCTGGAAAACATCCTTTAATATTTTTTGAAGTATATGTTTACTGGCAATAAATTCTCTCAGCTCTAGTTGTCTGGAAATGTCCTTATTTCACCTTTTTTTTTTTTTTTTTTTTTTTGTGGTACGCGGGCCTTGCACTGCTGTGGCCTCTCCCTTTGCGGATCACAGGCTCCGGACGCGCAGGCTCAGCGGCCATGGCTCACGGGACCAGCCGCTCCACGGCATGTGGCATCTTCCCGGACCGGGGCACGAACCCGCGTCCCCTGCATCGGCAGGTGGACTCTCAACCACTGCGCCACCAGGGAAGCCCGCCTTCATTTTTTAAAATAGATTGTCAGTGAGTATAGAATTCTAAATGAATAGTTTTTTAGGTCAATACTCTGAACAGGAACTTCCCTGGTTGCGCAGTGGTTAAGAATCCACCTGCCAATGCAAGGGACACGGGTTCGAGCCCTGGTCCAGGAAGATCCCACATGCCATGGAGCAGTTAAGCCTGTGTGCCACGACTGCTGAGCCTCTGCTCTAGAGCCTGCGAGCCACAACTACTGAGCCTGCATGCTGCAGCTACTGAAGCCCGCATGCCTAGAGCCTATGCTCCACAACAAGAGAAGCCACCATGATGAGAAGCCCGCACACCGCAACGAAGAGTAGCCCCTGCTCTCTGCAACTAGAGAAAGCCCGCGTGCAGCAACGAAGACCCAACACAGCCATAAATAAATGAATGAATTAATGAATGAATAAATGAATGAATAAAACAAAATAATACTCTGTACATATATCATTGGATTGTGGCTTCCATAGTTTGAAAATCAGTGATTATTTTTAATGTTACTCTGAAGGTAATGTATCTTTTTTCACCAGTTGCTTTTAAGAATTTTCTCCTTATCTTTAATTTTCAGCTACTTGGCTCTGATATGTCTAGGTGAGCTTTTCTTTACATTTATCCTGCTTGGTATTGGAAGAGCTGCTTGAATCTGTGAGATGATGTCGTTGATCAGATATGGAAATTTCTTCATTATTTTTTCAAGTATTGTTTCTATAACGTACACTTTCTCCTCTCCTTCTGGGACTTCTGTTCATGTCCCACATCTCCTTTACATTCTTTTCTTTCCATTTTCCCCCTGTGTTTCAGTTTGAATATTTTTAATTGATCTGTCTTATTTCACTAATCCTGTCTTCTGTGTTCAATCTGCTATTAAGCAAATTGAATGAGTTCTTAATTTCAGACATTGATGTTTTGTAATTCTAGAAGGTTCATTTGATTCTTTATTATAGATTATAGTTCTCTGTTGAAATAATGCATCTTTAAAAAACTTTTAATTGAAGTATAGTTGATTTACAATGTTGTGTTAGTTTCTGGTGTACAGCAAAGCAATTCGGTTATACATATATATGCACTGGCAGTTAAAATACTGGTGACTCACCTTAATCTTTTTGAGGCCTGGTTTTAGTTTTGCTTTGGGCAAGTTTATTCCTGTTTTGTCCTTCCTCCTGGAGTGTAGCCTTAATCCTGTGGAAACTCCTATGGTGTTTCATTTATCCTAGAGTATGGCCTTTATAGAGCTTCACCTGAATGCCCAGGGTGTTCATCAAAGTCTGCCTCTTCTGGCTGGGCCCAAATACCAATTGTCTTTCCCCAGAACTATGCAAGCTTCATAATTTCTCATCAGTTCTGACATGTGCAATTGCTATTCTCTGCCAGACTCCTGGAGTCTCACCTAAAATCATAGGGCCCAGGAGTTGGCTAAGCATTAAAGGGGAATTTCCATGAAAACTTCTGGGGTTTCCTCTCTGAGGCTTCCCCTCTTGACAGCTATGCCCCTCAAATTCCGGCCACAGTTGTATCTTTAATCTCTGATCCCTGCCTCTTCCAACCAGTAGGACCACCCTTCCTTGCACTGTGGCCTGGAGTGGAAAATGTTTCCAGTGAGAGAACCTGGGTCAATGTGGAACTGTGATAATGGGTTGGCCCAATAATGCTTACTTCAGATCAGCTATTTATGTTATCTTGCAGAATTTGCTTAGATCTTCTGCCTTATTTGCATACATATACTTTTTAGGGTAAAGCTCACCTTTTACCCAAACTAGAGAGTTACTGAAGGTTTACTATAGGCCAGCTACTTTTTGTGACCTTGATATCTTTTAATCTTCATGACAAGCACATAAGAAATCATCATAATAGTAGTACTTATACAGTGTTGTCAAGTGTCAGGCATTATTCTGAGCATCTTATACATCTATACGTACTCATTTAATCCTCACATCAACTCGACAGGTACTATTATTGTTCCTACTTTACAAATGAGGAGTCTGAGAAACTATAGAGGTTAAGTAACTTCCCTTGCACACAAGTACACAATATATAAGTTCATATTTATATAAAAATTCATGTTTCAAACCTAGGCAGTCTGGCTTCAGAATTAGTGCTCTTAACCACTTCATTATTGGTGGTATTGTTCTCATCTTACCGATTAGGGAGCAGCGTTAGAGAGGTTAGGTGATGACCCCAAGTCTCAGTGCTAGTAAGTGGCAGCAGTAGGATATGAACCAGGTTCCAAAGCCCTTGCTCTTTCTTCCCATAGTTTCTCCCAAAGAGGGAGAAGAAAAATGTTTTCCCTTTTAGGGCTTTAGTTTTAAAAAAATTTGTGAGAATTTTGTGGGGACTTCAGAGGGAACCAAACAGCTTTTTTTTGTTTTTCATGAAGTTGATACCTTCTTGTGCCTATGGTTTTCTGGCCATTTGTGACTAGGTACTGGAAGGGAGTTGTTTTCCCCATTGACGTGTGTTATTTCTGAACACCTCTGGGACTGACTCCTAGGGAAGGATGTTGATAGCTCCTTGAATGTCCGTCTTGGGAGTGGAAAGATGGCAGAGCTGAACCTTGAGGTCCTCTGCCTACACTGCAACATGTGGTGCCCGACTGACGTGAGTCCTTGTGCTCATTGGGTGTTTCATACATTTGCCAGCGAGAAACAGAGCCCTTGAGAGGGTTTGAGACAGGAAATATTTCTGTTTTTTGAAGGCTGCCAGGCTCAGATGAGGAGAGGAAGCTGGTTCCTTTATCAGGGAAGTCAGACCCGGTTATCCCCTACTGCTGTGCAGGGTGTTTACACAGTGAGCCTGGAGTGACACGGAGACAGTGGAATTGTTCTGCTGAAGGAGCCCCACAGAACCCATGTGTTTCACTGTGTCTGATACTGACCACACCCTTTTTTGCAGTGTGGAGGCTGCCAGCATCGGATTCGTCATTGTTATCGACAGACGAAGGGACAAGTGGAGCTCCGTAAAAGCATCCTTGACACGAATAGCTGTAAATATTTATTTTTGTACCTTATTATAAAGGTCACTTAAATTGTCTATTCAACTATTTCACATCAAAGTCATGGGGAAGTGGAAGTCATTTTATGCCAAATTTTGGGAAGGTCTTTGTAGCAGAGGCTGTTGTGTCATGTCCATATCCGCTCTGCCACCTGAAGGTCACTTACAGATGATTCCTGAGCATGTCAAAGGCTTCCTGAGTCTCTTTACCTTATTGACCTCTCTGGTCACTGGAGAGGAGTGGGTAGGGAGTGCTGGGAAGTTAATGCTCCAGCAGTGACCTGCAGCTACTGAGTTACGGGCGTTGGTGGATAAATACCCCAGCTTCTGCACCCCTCAGTGGGACAGTTCTGAGGTACATTCCGTACAGAATTTTGGAGGGCCCTGGCCTTTTCTGCCCGCAGCAGTCCCCCCTCACTGATACACTGGCTCTCTAGCCATCACCGTCTCACCAGCGCCCCCATACTCCCTAACTCTTTTTCCCGGGATCACCTCCTCAGTAAACTCTTTAGACCGAAATTCTTATCTTAGGGTTTGCTTTGGGGATCACCTAATTTAAGGCAGTCTTCATTTTAGTTTTCAAATTATTTTTTCACAAATTAGAAAGACACTGGCAAAGCCAAACAAAGTGATACGATAGGTGCTTGCTTTTGGCATTAAATTGCAGAACCTTGGATAGGCTTCCTTTTCCATCTTATTAGTCTGATTTTTACCCCTATTTGTTGCCTTCCGGCAAGTACATGCATCCTTTCGCTGTAGGGACCTCAGACCAGGGAACTCAGCCACATGATCAGGCAAAGACACCTCAGGGTCAGCCACACCAACATTTCCACCAAAGCATGCCTCCCTGGGGCAGTTGGGACTGGCTGAAGATGATGGGATATGGTAGGATGGTAATGTAGAGGCTGGGATGGAAGAGGGATGTTTGAAGCCTCAGTTATGCCTACTTACAGAAGCAGTCACACATAGGGACATGGACACATACAGAGTCTCTTTCAGATCACTTTGGAGCCTCATCCAGATACACAAATAGTGTCTCAGCTCATTTGTCCCATCCAGACATAAAAAAATGCAAGGATCTTCTGTTTAGGAACTTGAATTTCAAAGATGAGGGAATGGAAGACTCCCTTCTCTTTGTGCATGGATTGTTTCGTCCCTTTGGTTTAGTTTTTTAATTTATTTAATTACTTTATTTATTTTTGGCTGTGCTGGGTCTTCCTAGCTGCGTGCGGGCTTTCTCTAGTTGCAGTGAGCGGGGGCTACTCTTCATTGTGGTGCGCAGGCTTCTCATCGTGGTGGCTTCTCCTGTCGCGGAGCATGGGCTCTAGGCGCATGGGCTTCAGTAGTTGTGGCACACGGGCTCAGTAGTTGTGGTCCATGGGCTTAGTTGCTCTGTGGCATGTGGGATCATGAGCAGGGCTCAAACCCATGTCCCCTGCAATGGCAGGCAGATTCTTAATCACTGCGCCACCAGGGAATTCCCTACCATATTTATTTGAGGGATAACTGCAACGATGGTTGATGCCCCGAGGATTTAGACAGTGCCCATGACCATTCCAGAGTTCTGGCCTCCAGAGAGTTGTGGTTTCCCAGGATTCATTGACAATACTTGACTCATCTAATACTTGAGACTAATGTGTCCAAGAATTACATTGATCACCTTTATGTGTGAAAAATCCTATAGTGCGGGGATCTGAAAACCTGACTACCAGTCAGAATCTCTTTAGGTGCTTGTTAAAAATACAGATATCTGGACTTTATCCCAGTCCTAATGAATCAGAATATTTCAGGGTAAAGACCAGATTATTATGATTTTTAAAATAAGTTTATTTATTTATTTATTTTTGGCTGCATTGGGTCTTTGTTGCTACGCATGGGCTTTTTCTAGTTGTGGCGAGCGGGAGCTACTCTTTGTTGCGGTGCACGGGCTTCTCATTGTGGTGTCTTCTCTTGTTGCAGAGCACGGGCTCTAGGCATGCAGGCTTCAGTAGTTGTGGCTCGTGGACTCTAGAGCGCAGGCTCAGTAGTTGTAGCTCATGGGCTTAGTTGCTCCGCGACATGTGGGATCTTCCTGGACCAGGGCTCAAACCCGTGTCCCCTGCATTGGCAGGTGGATTCTTAACCACTGTGCCACCAGGGAAGTCCCAAGACCAGACTATATTTTAACAAGCACTTCAGCAGGTTTTTCTTAAGAACCACTGGAAGAATGGAAAGCCATGAGCGATGGGAGACTTGGATTCCCAATTTTGACACTAAGCTGTTACATGAATTTGTTATCTCATTTCTCAGAATCTTACCTCAAGATGACAACAGTGCTTCCTGAAAGCAACTTAGCAATAAGATGCATTAAGAGCCCTTAAAATACTAAACCTTTGACTCAGCAATTTTTCTAGGAAGCTATGCTCTAAAATGTGGATAAAGATTTCATTTTAGTGTTATTTATAATAGTAAAAACATGGAGGAGCCTAAATCACTAGTAATAAGGGATTGGTTAAATAGTACACCCATAAAAATATTTCCAAAGAATTTTTAATAACAGGAATAAAAGCTCATGGTAGAATATTAAATTAAAAGGCAGGTTGCAAAATATTTCTACAGGTTGAGTTTAACTACGCTAGATATTTAAGCAGAGAAAATAGCCTAGAAATAATTAAATTGAAATATTAAGAATGGTTATGAAATCATGGGTGGTTTTCTTATTCTAATGTATACTTTTATTAATTTCTCAATTTTTCTATAAAGTGTATAAATTGTTTTTTTAATCAGAAAATTTTTTGTTTGTTTGGTTTGGTTTTGCTTTTAAGGAGGGGTTTAGATTATGTGACCAGTAAGAGCTCTTTCAGCTGTGAAATCCTGTGAAATATATTCTAATTCTTGGTATCCATGGTGTCCACTTTAACTTTGTCATCTGTAATCTTGCGCAAGAGGAGACCAATGGATGTGACATTTGCCCTGACACTTTTTATGATCCTTCCAGGTAGCATTTCCAGGAAACTTGCAGCTCATATTCATTCTTCGTCCATCCTGCTTTATCCAGAGGACATTCACTGACATTGGTATTAAGTACTATCGAGATGAATTTAAAATGAAAGTGCCGGTAAGCATGACCTTTCTTCTTGTCTGCATTTGTTTAGGGCATACGGAGAAGATGGCATGTGAGCTTGTTTCCAAGGAATGTAGGATTCCTCAGGCAGAGAGGGAGAGGAGGGCATTCTGGGCAGAGGGAACGGCATGTGTAAAGACATGGAAGCAGGAAGTACACTCTATGTGAGGTCCATGGGGAAGCCCCATTCTTGTTGGAAGTACATATAGGATCATATTTTAGAAGAAAAGGTAAGAAACATGGAATATGTCTTAAGTGTAAGGATAAAGGTTCTGAATTTAATTCAGTAGGCAATGGGGATCCAGTGAAGGTTTTTGAGTTGGGGAGTGACTTGGGTAAAGGAGTACTGGAATTATATAAATCCAGTGGTGTTATATAAAAGGTGATGTCCAAGACTGTAGAAAGAGATTGAAAAAGGAAGAGAAACTAATAGTATGAGTAAAGAAAAATCAGGGTCTAAAATATGGGGGTGACAAATATAGGCAAATGTGAGTAAAAATTAAAACCAACATTGTGATACATATAAAAGGAAAACAAATTAAAATGACAAGATTAAAAATTTTACCTCTGGAGGAGCTTCAAGATGGCAGAAGAGTAAGACGTGGAGATCACCTTCTTCCCCACAAATACATCAGAAATTCATCTACATGTGGAACAACTCCTACAGAACACCTACTGAATGCTGGCAGAAGACGTTGGACCTCCCAAAAGTCAAGAAACTCCCCACGTACCTGGGTAGGGCAAAAGAAAAAACAGAGACAGAAGAATAGGGACGGGACCTGCACCAGTGGGAGGGAGCTGTGAAGGAGGAAAGGTTTCCACGCACTAGGAAGCCCCTTTGCAGGCGGAGACTGTGGGTGGCGGAGGGGGGAATCTTCGGAGCCACAGAGGAGAGCGCAGCAACAGGGGTGCGGAGGGCAAAGTGGAGAGATTCCCACACAGAGGATCGGTGCCGACCAGCACTCACCAGCCCAAGAGGCTTGTCTGCTCACCTGCCCGGACAGGCGGGGGCTGGGAGCTGAGGCTCAGGCTTCGGTTGGATCACAGGGAGAGGACTGGTGGCGTGAACACAGCCTGAAGGGGTTAGTGCACCACGGCTAGCAGGGAGGGAGTCCGGGGAAAAGTCTGGACCTGCTGAAGAGGCAAGAGACTTTTTCTTCCCTCTTTGTTTCCTGGTGCACGAGGAGAGGGGATTAAGAGCGCGCTTAAAGGAGCCCCAGAGACAGGCGCGAGCCGCAGCTATCAGCGTGGATCCCAGAGACGGGCATGAGACATTTAGGCTGCTGCTGTGGCCACCAAGAAGGCTGTGTGCAAGCACAGGTCACTATCCACACCTCCCCTCCCGGGAGCCTGTGCAGCCCGCCACTGCCAGGGTCCCATGATCCAGGGACAACTTCCCCGGGAGAATACATGGTGTGCCTCAGGCTGTTGCAATGTCACACTGGCCTCTGCTGATGCAGGCTCGCCCCGAACTCCATGCCCTCCCTCCCCCCGGCCTGAGTGAGCCAGAGCCCCCGAATCAGTGGCTCCTTTAACCCCGTCCTGTCTGAGCGAAGAACAGACGCCCTCAGGCGACCTACACGCAGAGGCGGGGCCAAATCCAAAACTGAACCCCAGGAGCTGTGCAAACAAAGAAGAGAACGGGAAATCTCTACCAGCAGCCTCAGGAGCAGTGGATTAAATATCCACATTCAACTTGATGTACCCTGCATCTGTGGAATAACTGAATAGACAACGAAGCATCTCAGAATTGAGGAGGTGGACTTTGGGAACAACAATATATATATATTTTTCCCTTTTTCTTTTTTTGTGAGTGTGTATGTGTATGCTTCTGTGTGTGATTTTGTCTGTATAGCTTTGCTTTAACCATTTGTCCTAGGGTTATGTCTGTCCGTTTTTCTTTTTTTTCTTAGTATAGTTTTTAGCACTTGTTATCATTGGGGGGGTTGTTGTTTCGTTTGGTTGCTCTCTTCTTTCTTTCTTTTTTTTTATTACTTAAAAAAATTTTTTTAATAATTATTTTTTATTTTAATAAATTTATTTTATTTTATTTTCTCTTCTTCTTTCTTTCTTTCTTTTTTTTTTTCTCCCTTTTATTCTGAGCCGTGTGGATGACAAGCTCTTGGTGCTCCAGCCAGGTGTCAGGGCCGTGCAGCTGAGGTGGGACAGCCAAGTTCTCAGGACATTGGTCCACAGGAGACCTCCCAGCCCCACATAATATAAAACGGTGAAAATCTCCCAGAGATCTCCATCTCAACGCCAAGATCCAGTTCCACTCAACGACCAGCAAGCTCCAGTGCAGAACACCCTATGCCAAACAACTAGCAAGAAAGGAACAAAACCCTACCCATTAGCAGAGAGGCTGCCTAAAATCATAATAAGGCCACAGACACCCCAAAACACACCACCAGACGTGCACCTGCCCACCAGAAAGACAAGATCCAGCCTCCACCAGAACACAGGCACTAGTCCCCTCCACCAGGAAGCCTACACAACTCATGGAACCAACCTTAGCCACTGGGGGCAGAAAGCAAAAACAATGGGAACTATGAACATGCAGCCTGTGAAAAGGAGACCCCAAACACAGTAAGTTAAGTAAAATGAGAAGACAGAGAAACACACAGCAGATGAAGGAGCAAGGTGAAAACCCACCAGACCTAACAAATGAAGAGGAAATAGGGAGTCTACCTGGAAAAGAATTCAGAATAATGATAGTAAAGATGATCCAAAATCTTGGAAATAGAATGGAGAAAATACAAGAAATGTTTAACAAGGACCTAGAAGAACTAAAGAGCAAACAAACAGTGATGAACAACACAATAAATGAAATTAAAAATTCTCTAGAAGGGATCACTAGAAGAATAACTGAGGCAGAAAAATGGATAAGTGACCTGGAAGATAAAATAGTGGAAATTATTAAACTACTGCAGAGCAGAATAAAGAAAAAAAAATGAAGAAAAGTGAGGACAGTCTCAAAGACCTCTGGGACAACATTAAGTGCACCAACATTCGAATTATAGGGGTCCCAGAAGATGAAGAGAAAACGAAAAGGGACTGAGAAAATACTTGAAGAGATTACAGTTGAAAACTTCCCTAATATGGGAAAGGAAATAGTTAATCAACTCCAGGAAGCACAGAGAGTCCCATACAGGATAAATCCAAGGAGAAACACGCCAAGACACATATCAATCAAACTATCAAAAATTAAATACAAAGAAAAAATATTAAAAGCAGCAAGGGAAAAACAACAAATTACACACAAGGGAATCCCCATAAGGTTAACAGCTGATCTTTCAGCAGAAACTCTGCAGGCCAGAAGGAAGTGACAGGACATATTTAAAGTGATGAAGGGGAAGAACCTACAACCAAGATTACTCTACCCAGCAAGGATCTCATTCAGATTTAATGAAGAAATTAAAATCTTTACAGACAAACAAAAGCTAACAGAATTCAGCACCACCAAACCAGCTTTACAACAAATGCTAAAGGAACTTCTTTAGGCAGGAAACACAAGAGAAGGAAAAGAACTACAATGACAAACCCAAAACAATTAAGAAAATGGTAATAGGACATACATATCGATAATTACCTTAAATGATGATGGATTAAATGCTCCCACCAAAAGACATAGACTGGCTGAATGGATACATAAACAAGACCCATATATATGCTGCCTGCAAGAGACCCACTTCAGACCTAGGGACACATACAGACTGAAAGTGAGGGGACAGAAAAAGATGTTCTTCTTCCGGCAAATGGAAATCAGAAGAAAGCTGGCATAGCAATTCTAATATCAGACAAAATAGACTTTAAAACAAAGACTATTACAAGGGACAAAGAGGGGCACTACATAATGATCAAGGGATCAATCCAAGAAGAAGATATAACAATTGTAAATATTTATGCACCCAACATAGGAGCACCTCAATACATAAGTCAAGTACTAACAGCCATAAAAGGGGAAATCGACAGTAACACAATCGTAGTAGGGGCCTTTAACACCCAACTTTCACCAATGGACAGATCATCCAAAATGAAAATAAATAAGGAAACACAAGCTTTAAATGCTACATTAAACAAGATGGACTTAATTGATATTTATAGGACATTCCACCCAAAGACAACAGAATACACTTTCTTCTCAAGTGCACATGGAACATTCTCCAGGATAGATCACATCTTGGGTCACAAATCAAGCCTTGGTAAATTTAAGAAAATTGAAATCATATCAAGTATCTTTTCCGACCACAATGCTATGAGTCTAGATATCAATTACAGGAAAAAATATGTAAAAAATACAAACACATGGAGGCTAAACAATACACTACTTAATAACCAAGAGATAACTGAAGAAATCAAAGAGGAAATCAAAAAATACCTAGAGACAAATGACAGTGAAAACACGACGATCCAAAAACTAGGGGATGCAGCAAAAGCAGTTCTAAGAAGGAAGTTTATAGCAATACAATCCTACCTTAAGAAACAAGAAACATCTCAAATAAACAACCTAACCTTACACCTAAAGCAATTAGAGAAAGAAAAACAAAAAAACCCCAAAATTAGCAGAAGGAAAGATATCATAAAGATCAGATCAGAAATAAATGAAAAAGAAATGAAGAAAACTATAGCAAAGATCAATAAAACTAAAAGCTGGTTCTTTGAGAAGATAAACAAAATTGATAAACCATTAGCCAGACTCATCAAGAAAAAAAGGGCGAAGACTCAAATCAATAGAATTAGAAATGAAAAAGAAGAAGTAACAACTGACCCTGCAGAAATACAAAGAATCATGAGAGATTACTACAAGCAACTATATGCCAATAAAATGGACAACCTGGAAGAAACGGACAAATTCTTAGAAATGCACAACCTTCCGAGGCTGAACCAGGAAGAAGTAGAAAATATGAACAGACCAATCACAAGCACTGAAAGTGAAAATGTGATTAAAAATCTTCCAACAAACAAAAGCCCAGGACCAGGTGGCTTCACAGGTG